TTGTGGCTACAGTGTACAGGGAACGATGTAGCCATATAGACTGAGACAGAAAGAGTGGGAGAAGCTCATTCAATATCACACAGCATCCCAGCCTGGCTACCTTTCACAGGTCACATCCTTCTCATGTCACTTTCCCCTCAGAGATCCTTCTACCCTAGTCAGGCACAGACAATGAGAAAGTCCCCTCAGCTGTCATAGAACCTGTGCTTGAAAGGAAGGTCCTAATCAGCTCCATCCCAACGAAAGCAATGTGTGTAGTGAGGCACAGACAGAAGGGGGCAGCATAGAGCTTGCAAACAGAGATTTGGGGTGTCAATCCTGGGATTGCTTCTGCCCCAGAGTCTTCAGAATTGGTATTTGACCAAGAGTGTCAATTTTCTCATATTAAAAGTAGAAGAGTCACTGGGAATCCTGGCACATGCCTTTAATTCCAGAACTCAAAAGATAGAGGCAAGAGGGTCTCGCTGATTTTATACCAGCCTGGTCTGTGTAGGAAATTCAAAGATCAGCCAGGATCACATAGAGAGGGCCTTTGTTGTTGTTTTCAAAACAAAACAACAGCAACGAAAACAAAATCGTATAAATGGCATCCTGATGCTGGCTCCAAAGCTAAGTAGAAGGCTGGCTGGGACATTAACCCAATATATAAGACCTAATAAACTACTACACCAGCAAAGAGGCAGGGGGAAGGATTCAGACCCTATGAGAAGAGCTGTGTAGACTTCTTCTCCATCCTCAGTATTTATTCAAAAAGGATGATTATTCCAACATTCAATCCCAGACCATGAGAGAGACCTGAATTGACAGGACAGAGAAAAGAGGAAACATGACAGATTCACTTTTAAATGTCTGCTCTTGTGGTTTGGCCAGGCCTCATATTTCTCACTCTTTCACTCTGTTTGCCATCACCGAATCAGCATTGACCATCTCTATGAAAGACCTGGGAGAACATGGAAATGGACTGGAAATTCTTCCTGGACTTTGACTCCAGGAAATTCTGGAGCCTGACGAAACAGAGACCATTCCATATGACAGCACACCTAAAATAATAGTCCAGGGCTGCCTGCTAGCCCTGCCTGGACCATATGGCCTGCCTAGTGACATGGGACCATGCCTGATGAGATATATTCCTACAGTCACCACAGGTTAAACTCAGTGGAAGGGAAGGATAACTCACCATGGCCAGTGAAAAGATCACCTTGAAATGAGTCTGTCTTCACCATTGCTGGGTATCAGTCTCTACTTCATAATCAGAGACAGATTTGGACCCAACTCTCCAGTCTGGAGTTGTATCCAGATAATTCTTGGTGTCTGCTAAGACTACATTTCTGGGAATCTGGGGTGTATGGGCAAAGGAGACCTGTGTTGAAGGAGTTAAGAGCAAAGATCCTTAGGTTTAAGAAAAAGCCAGGAAAGTTGAGGCAGAGGAGAGCAGCTATGGTTAGAATCCAGGGACCTGAGAACAAACCTGAGTTCACTGTTGAGCCTGGGTCAGGAGCCTGGGTGACGTCTTCTCTGGTTACCTTCAGCACCAAGTTCTCACTGCGTGGGGACCAGATGGACTCTTTATAATAGAGGCAATAATAGTCTCCAGCAGTGCTTTCATTCACTGGGCCAAGGAGGAATCTAGCCTCTGTCATTGGAGGCTGTGTGTTCTTCTTCTCCATGACACTCTGGCCTCCCTTCTCCAGGCGGAATGTATCATACCCACTAGGGGTTGAGCACACAATGGTTACAAAATGCCCTTTGTGGATCACAAGGCTTGGTTCAGCTGAGATGAAAGGCTTTGACAGAGATCCTAGGAGAGAGCAGAGCAGGAATCACAGAACATTGCCACAACACAAAACCAACTTAGGTGCAACATTCTATATTCTTACCAAATTTGGAGTTCTCCAGACATGATGGAAGTGCAGCTCTATAACATCCTCACTTTCTGTGTGCATTTGAATTCCCATCCCATGACAATAAGGAAGCTAAGCCTTAGCACATGTTGGG